GGGGGGGGGATTCTATAGCTGGAGAATCTCGTGTTCAAAGCCAAACAATTTTGCGAGAAAAATAAGTATGGTTTTTATTCTTTAATTATTTACTGTTCTTCTGTCACGACTCAGGAGCAGTTAAGCAAATATTTTAAATCTAACTGCGCTTTCCCAGAAGGATGATGCGCTAAATACACACAAATAATAGTGCCTTTCCAAAGCAAGTGGATTCCGACAAAAAGGGAACAGGATGGGGGAGGGGGATCCCGGGAGAAGAAAAAGAATCATTAGCCCCAAGATCGAGTTGGGACAGGAGGGGAAAGGGACCATAACTGAGAAATGCAACACATACACACTCGCCAGAACTTCATAAGAGAAGAAGACCGGACACTGTGGCTCCAGTTCTGTCCCCAGGGACCAGGAGGTGGCCTTCCCTCCCGCTCAGGTCAAAACTAACTCCCCAGCGCACCCTCGCTCCCGACAAAAGGGGCCTGGTAGAGACGCGGGCCCCTCGCACCTCCCGCGGGACGTTGGCAACCGCCTTAGTGGAAGCAAGGCCGGGAAGGATGTGAGTCGAGTTGGGTAGCGCCAAGAGTACCGGACGGAGCGTCAGAGGCGGTCACCGGCGGTCTGGGGGCGGCGGCAAGGGACCCTCCCATCCCGGGATCCCACTGCGCCCTCGGAGGGCAGAGTCCCCCGTACCGGCCTCAAGATGTACCCCGGTACTGGCCCCGGCTACTATGACCACTTCTCACCTCACGCTGCCTGAGTCTGTCCTTCCACTGCAACTCGAGCCGTCGCAGCCGCCACGGTCCGAGCCATTTTCCCTCGGCTAACTCAGCCGCCGCCGAAAGCTCCGCCGGACTCCGCGGCCAGCCAAGCACATCACGTCACTTCCGGCAGGCAAGCACCGCCCTCCGCGCCCAGGCGTCTTGCGGATTGGCTGCTGTGCGTGGCCTACCTGAGGTGGTAGGCGGGGCCGGGACGCGCCCCGTGAGGCTGGAGCTACCGTTCTGAGGCTTTTGGCTACTGACCCTGGACTTCCCTGTGTGCAACCCCTGGGCAAGTAGCGAGCTCGCTGGATCCCCCAGCCAACCTCCTCTCCGACCCGGCATTCGAAGCCCGGCCAAGAGTCTCGGGCATCGAAGTATCCTATTGTTCCTATGCCCTCTCTCAGGACTCCGCGCTTGCCTTTACTCGGACTGCGGCTCCCAGAATTGTGGTAGTGGCCCCGGGCCCCCGGTGAGATTAGTTTGCATTGGAAGACTGAAACGTACTGGCAAGACAAAATCGTTCACTCCAACCCCCATTTACCTAGTCTTCACAGTGGATGAAGTGCTGTGGAGTGTGTAATTTGTAACCCATCACGTGGTTTCTGTAAAGTGCTTTCACGTTAGTGTCTCATTTAGTCTTTGGCCACAGCTAGGTAAGGAAGATAGCCCGACAATAACTCACAGCCACATTGCTTTCTGTATTACAAAATATCTCCACACCCAAACTCCATAATAGAAATACCTTCTTATGAGAACTCAATGAGATTAAGCTTGTGAAGTGTTCAGCCCTCGACTGTTCACATAATGAGGTGAAGCAGATTGGAAAATTGTCCCCACTTTACAAATGGTGAAGCTGGCTGCCTTCCGGTTCAAATTTGGTTTTTTAGCGGTTGGTTGTTTGCGTTTGTGCAATGGGTGGGATTGACCACAAGCATGCTCATCACTGAGGTATACCCCCGGCCCTTATTATTTTATTATATTTTGAGACAGGGTTTCGCTCAATTGCCCAAGCTGGCCTCACATTTGTTGTCTTCCCGAGTAGTTGGGATTGTAGACACAAGCCACCATGTCCAGGTTTTTACAAGAAAAAAGCATTGTATAATGATTGTTCTTTAAGCAAAATTTTATTGTAATGTGGCATATTGATTTAGATTGCAGTTCTCACGACCTCTTTCCCCATCAAAGAGGACACACTACCTAACTAGTTTAAGGATAAGGAATAGCAAATTGGCTGCTTCTACTTGGGGACCAAGGATAAGGGGATCTCTAAGACGTTTTTTTGTCAGGAGCATGGCGGGGCGCGGGGGTGGGGTGGGGGGGTAGCCAGGAATTGAACTCAGGGGCACAGACCACTGAGCCACATACCTAGCCCTATTTTGTATTTTATTTAGAGACAGGGTTTCACACCAGTTTTTGCTAAGGCTGGCTTTGAACTTGTGATCCTCCTGAGCTGCTGGCATTACAGGTCTGTGCCACTGTGTCCAGCTATTTCTATCTTTTTAAGAGGGGTAGGGATAATGTGGAGTAGATGAAGTCCTCTCCTCCATTCATTGTAATATACATGCCTACACCTCCCTGGAGATGGGAAAATTGAATGTAGTTTTTATTCTGTGATTATAGTCTAGCTACTTAGAAGTTGAGGCAGGAGATCACTTGAATCCAGAAATTTGAGACCAGGTTGAGCAACACAGGGAGACCCCCATCTGAAAAGAGAAAGAAGAAAAGGCCCTATTATTCTCTGAGGAAGCCTAGAAGCAATTTATGGCTGTGATAACTACCTCCTGTCCACCTTCTCTAACTTTTCACCAAACCCAGGAGACCTTCTGTACACAGGCTCTAGCAAACTTTCCATACCCTAGAAGAATGTCCCTTAGGAATCCATTTAGTTCCACAGCATTGTTCTGCTTTATCTTCTGATCAAAGGAGGAATTTCTGGAATTGGCCATTCTTTCACAAGATTAAAAGGGGTGGGGAAAACTATCTCTGGGCTTGTTTCCTACCTTCTGTTTGAGAACTAAGTGTGCCTTCAGGAAAGAAGAAAAAGGCCTTGAGAGAACACTGAGTCTTCAGGGAAGATTAACTATTTGACTTTTTTGTATCTCTTTTATTTTTTAATGAAATATTAAATAAAAATAAAAATATTTAATGGATCCCAGGGGGAGGGAAAAAAAGGGCCCCGGTCTTTGAACCAGTTCCTTGCTGCAGTTCTGACTTGTTTTTGTTTTTGCTTTTTTATGGCTTTTGAAGGGCCCTTATTTAGTAAGATCTATTAACTAGAAGGGTAACAATAAAATGAGGAGGAAGAGTCTGATGACCTTCCAGATTCTAAGAAAGCAGCATTTGCAAATTGTCAGGTGTCAAGAATCTGAACATGTAGCCCTCCCTTAGCATGCCTCATCTGTCTGGCAATGGCTTGTGAAGAAGCATGTTAAACAATATGAACACAGATCCAAGAGAAGGTAAAAACTGGCACTGCTGTTATTTAGAACCAAGTAGAACATAGCTAGCGCCCACTTATCCTCTTTCTTTTCTCTCCCACTGTCCTCAGGTTTGACTTGGTTGTAGGGAAAAAGATTGAGGAGGAGGAGGAGGCATTACATTTTTAAGTGTTCCAACTCTAACTTCCCACAGAGAACTTCACACCACCACAACTATTCTCAAGCTTCTTCCAGTACCAAATGAGAAACCAGCAACCTTTTTCTTTTTCTTTTTTTAACCACAGGTTTTAAAATGTGACTAACATTTTGTTGAGATTTCCTAAGACCAGGCCCTGTTTTAGGTCTTTGTGAGTATTATCTCATTGAATCCCTCCAGCAGCCTTAATAGAAAGGTGGTATTATATCCTTATTTTATAGTTAAGGTATTTGAGGACCAGAGAGGAAAGTAACTTGCCCAAAGCCACATAACTATTACATAGTAGAGATCAAACCACAGCTCACAGTTCACACTGCCCCTAATAAGCCAAGGGTATTTTAACAGGTATTGAGGTTATTAATAAGTTCTGTTCATCTTTCCCTCCCCCAGTTCTATATTCCCACAATATAAGAGGATTCTGCTAGATACTACACCACACAATTTAAAAGTTGTGGTCTCAACCTCTCAGAAATCATTACCTAAGAGAAATGACACACAGAACAAGAAATGTGTAAATGATGATATGAAATTTGTAGAAGGAAAGGGAAATATCTGTCTTTAATTGATTTAAGAAGGAAAGAAATGCATTGAGTCCCTACTTTCTATATCAAGCACCAGACTCTGTGTTGGGAATAGAGTAGTAAACAAGACATATCTTTGCTCTCATAGAGCTTAGAGTCCAATAGGGGAAACAAACATTAAACACCTAACTAAGCAATCACTTAATCTCTTTGTGATAACAGTGTGAAGGAAAATTAGTGTTTTTCTTCTTCTGAGAATGGAAGGAAGGAAGTCCTTCTCTGAGTACATGACATGAAGCTGAGACCTAAACAATGAGCAGAAATTGAGTGAGAATGGAGAGAAAAGTATCCCAGGCAGAAGGAACAGTGTGTGCAAAGAGAGTGAGGGGGAAGGAACATGGTTCAGCAGAGGAACTGAAAGACCAATGGTGGTATTATACTGGAAGTACGGGGGAAGTGATATTATTATGATTATTATGAGTATGAGAGATATAAGTTGCTGAGGCTGGCCTCAAACTTGTGATTTTCCTGCCTCAGCCTCCAGAATCACTGGCATTACAGGCATCTACCACAACACCCGGCTGGAAAGTGCTTTTAAAATGTCATAGTGAGACAAACACTTCATACCAGGCCTCAAAGGCAGTGGTAAGAATCAACTTAGGTCTTTATCTTAAGAATGAGGGGAAGAGCCAGGCACAGCGGTGGATACCTGTAATTCCAGCGTCTCTGGGGAAGCAGAGGCAGGAAAATCACAAGTTTGAGGCCAGACTCAGCAAAAGCGAGGCATTAAGCAACTCAGTGAGACCCTGTCTCTAAATAAAATACAAAATAGGGCTGGTGATGTGGCTCAGTGGTTGAGTGCCCCTGATTCAATCCCCAGTACCAAAAAAAAAAAAAAAAGAAAAGAAAAGAAAAAGAAAGAAAGAAAGAATGAGGGGAAAAATTTTTTTCAAGATGGTGGAATAGAGAAGGTTGCTTTCCTGGCTGCTCCATGCTCTGAAACCAAGAAAGCAGATAGGCAGCTTCTCAGCAAGATGGATGAGAAAGAAAAAGGGTGAGTGTGTGTTTTACTAGGATTTAATACTAGGCATTCAATTTATTATATCCAATTTCATGACCAGGGACTCATGAAATTGGATATAATAAAATAAGAAAGAAATCCCCAGTGCCATTTTTGTGGCTATGACTAGAGGCAGCAGCCAGAGTGGTCCATCTGTGAGCAAACTGGAAAGATAAGGGAATTAAAGGGACCGGCAGCCTGAGTTGTGTCTGGGTATAGAGATATTAGAGATAAAAGACATTGCCCAACTAAACTGAAAGTTGTGCTACCCAATATCCTTGTGTGGGAAAGAAGCTGCATCTCTCCCAGCTGCCCGTGGAGGAGAAAAGGAACCATATCGCAGCTATAGTCTGGGGGCTAGCAGCTTGGGGAGCCAATTCCTGACAAACATGAGTTTGGCCCAAAATATAGGCCTGCCAAACCCACACTGCATGACATAGAGTGTGCTCAAGTGACCAGGAGAAAATCAAACTTGGAGAGGGGTTTACACTCCCAACCCGCAATCCAGCCAATTGAAGGACCTGCTGGGAGAGAGGACCCTGGCTGGGAATTCAAAAGTGCAGAGGTGGGAGAGATTGAGTATGGAGACTGAACCCAAGAGACCAGGAACCTTGGTGTCCATGGGTAACAGAGGGGACTAAAAATTGTCTCCTCCATCACACAAGTGGAACCCAGGAGAGATCCCTGGGATGCAGTCTTCCAGTGTTGACCAGCAATTGCTGGGACCCAGAGGTCAAATCTTCAGACCAATCACCATTCAACAAAGAACCTGGAGCCTACCTTAGCCTAAACTCCACATCCAGGAACTCTGCTTATGGAATTTCCCCTCTCTGGGAACCCCACCCTGAGGGTAGAGCAGACAGGCATACAACACCAGCCCACCCCACCTAAAGCTGATAAGAATCTT